CACTAAACAGAGGGGTGCAGAACAACTTAAAGAGTTTTTTGGGCCTTTTTTTAACTTTATACAAGCTGCCCTCCCCAAAAAAACAAGTCTCCAGTGCCAAGTAGAAACAATCGATATTAGTGACAGATGGTCTAAGAAACATGGAATTATCTTACTCTAGATTTTCTAAACTCTGTCTTTATGGCAATTTAGTTCTCTTCTTTCTCCAAATGCACTTAGTCCATTCCAAAACACCTCCAAAACATGTCCCAGAAAGTATGCTCGGAGCCAGGGATACAAAGATGAATAAAATGCAACCTAAGAAGCCGCACTTAGCTTCTTGCAGAAACACCATCATGCAGTTGTGATTCCATATTATACCATCAGCTTCAAAGGAGGATCAATAAAAATAAAAATAAACCAACCCTCTCCAGGTGAAGAGTGCTTCCGAATCCCTTTATAAAGCTATTCAGTAAAGAGAGTGGACAGTTGCAGACATGCACAAAATCAAGCCCTCTTGGTTTTCTAGTGAAGACAGTGCCTCTGCCGATACGTGTTTGAGATCATCTCAGGCTATGAAACTCGTCTCCTCTTTAGGATGAGCGCCAGGAAGTTCAGGGCAAAATGATAAACTCAGTGACGTAAGTGCCCCATCACCTAAAGCAGCAATTCTCGATCCTGGCATTCCATCACAATCACCAGTGGGGCTCCGAGGCAGTAAGGGCTCTACTCCACAACAGGCCAGCACGTGTCTATTCACCACTGCACAAGGACGGCGATGCAGGCGGGACCGCTGACCCGGCCGGTCTGTACATCCTCCTTTCTTCAGTAAGCCATTCACCGTGCAACTCTACTGCTTTAGAGATTTCAATACAAACCCCCTCCAGTCGATTTCAGAAGGTGGGTAAGACACAGAAGATAGTGAACGAAGGAATGACTCCGAAGGAGGCAGAGAAGTCGCCCTTTCTCATCCTAGCCTGTCCCTCGGCCACACGGACTCACCTGTATTGCAAACTTCTTCGGGATGAAGAGGTCATTACCTGTGCTGATGTAGACGGCTTCCTGCCAAACTACAGCAAGTCACAGAATAAAATCAAACCTGAGATAATCGGCCAGCAAAGAACTTCATCCCCTCTTTTGTTAAATTACATCAGGAACAGTTTGAAAGCAATGCATCTAAAGACAATCTTCTTACAAATGAGCCAGCTAATCAGAAGGTGATAATGCATTTGATGAGTGCTAAGAAAGCATCTGAAAAATAAAATACTGAATATGGAGTTTATAGAGCCACTTCCCAGTAACACAGAGGGTCTTTATATATTCACCTCATTTTGTCCTCACAAATCCTACAAGGTTGAGACAGAACTGTAAGGATATTTATTAGGAATAAAAATATACTTATTACCAGTACCATTTAAACATAAATAACTGAGGCAAAAAAGGTTAACTAACCTGCCTCCGAATCCCTGTTAACCCAAACCCGTTGCCACGGAGTCAATTCCGACTCACGGTGACTCTACAGGACAGAGCACAACTGCCCCATAGGGTTTCCAAGGCTGTGATCTTTACAGAAGCAGACTGCCACATCTTTCTCTGCAGGAGCCACTGATGGGTTCAAACCACTGACCTTTCGATTAGCAGCAGAGTGCTTAACCGATGTACCACCAGGGCTCCCTGAGCTCCTGTGAGGGACACCCAGTCCCCTGCTTTTACTCAGAGAACCACGCACAGCAATAAAAGTCCGAGAAACGTTCACGACTGTACGTGAGCAACGTTAACAAAATAAGTGTCAAAATATAACACAAGAAATCATGAGACTACAGAAGTGAATCTCCAGAGATAATGACCCTATCAATTCATAGATTTATTCCTGAAAAACTTTAAGCTATACTCAAACTGTGATACAGTCTTTAGAAGCAATTGTCACACTGGTCATGTTTTCACACCTAGGCTGGAAAGAACTAGGTGAAGACTCCAGCTTCTAACTCTGAAAGAGAAAGTGGTTACCTTCAGAGAGAAAAATTTCTTCCTAGTCCGATTTTTTTTACTTGTACTAGAAAAGTGATTAACGGTAGATTATGAAAATTTTTGGTATCGCAAATAAAATGTTTAAAATACAGTATCAAACGTCACGTCAGCTTTTATTCCCCTTAAATTATCTCTAAAAGTTATAAAAAAAGAACACTAACTGCAGAACTAATCTTTGCTCGAGAACATACAGTATGATGCAACTCCAAATCACAACCCAGGATATCTCCCTGCCACTACCTCCCCAACAAAGGGTGGGATTCCGTGAAGTGGGCTTGGGAACTTCTCCTGAGGCATATGTTCTCCTTCACGAAGCGTATTTCAATCACTGCAGCACACTTCTGATATTCTCTATCTGCTCATCCTGATTTCCTCTTACAGCATTTGGTCGGTGCAGTGGTTAGGAGATCCACGCCTGGAGCCCCAACAGGTGTCCCCAAACCACAGTGAAGACGTGCACAGTGACATTCATCTAGCCCAGCAGAGAATCCAAACCACAAACGTACTGCTCTGCCCATGCCAAAGGGGGAGCAAGCCTGGGGGTGTGGCCTCCAAAGGAAGGGACACCTGGCTTCTTGGCCCATACAGCCTACAAAAAGAGCTAAAAGACACCTCTTTATATAAAGCGAACATTCAAATGTTACTAAAATTAGAAATCTTGAACTATATTAATATTTTTATACCATATATTTACATATTTTGACAATGTTGTAAGTAACAGATTTCCCATTAGTTCTCCTATGGGGGGGCGGGTCAAAGTCAACTATCAGACTTTGCTTACAATTAACTCTCTGGGTGGTCACTGTTAAATCTATACATGTACTATGCAGGGCAACCACTGAACATTTTTCCTTCTATATTCTTGGAGCGGGACTCTAGAGGAAGTGATTTCCAAATGCTGTAAGAGGAAATCAAGATGACCAAACAGAGAATATCAGAAATGTGCTACAGTCATTAAAATACGCTTCATGAAAAAGGAAAGAACTTTCCGGAATCTCACAGAAAGTTTTTTAACACACAAAACATCAGAGCCATAAAGAAAATTGCTACATTTAACCACATAAAAATAAAAATTCTCCGCCAGCTTAAAAAAATACCAGGAACAAAACTCAAAAGACAAATGAACAGTATCTACAAAACACATAAAAGGATTATTTTCTTAATACTTAAAGAAACTTTTGAATTCATAAGGAAAAAAGACAAAAGTCCAATAGAAAAATGGAAAAACGACATGGATAGGTTAAGTCACAGAAATAGAAATACAATGACTTAAAAAAATAAAATAAAATAAAACTTTATTGAGGGGATTTTCAAACGCATCCAAAGCCGAGTAGTATTATAATGAACCCCATGGACACATGGCCCAGCTTCAACGATTTTCACACATGACCAGTTTGTATCATCTGTCAACCCAATCCACTAGTCCCCTCCCGAGCTGTTAGAGCAGCTCCAGACACTGTGGGGTTTCACATGTAAGTACTTCTAATAGGTATGCCTTTAACATGACCAACATATATCACTGTCACACCTAAAAAATTAACAATAATCCCTTAGTATCCTGTAAGAAGTGCTCAAATCTCTCCAATTGTCTCAAAAAAAAATCTTCTCAGAGTTGGTGTTTGCACCGGGGCTGGAAGACCAGACCCAGCACCTGAACCTCTTCTCTGGGGGTGCTGCCTCCCTCTTTTTTCCTTCCTCTTGTCATTTGTCCTATGAAGCTTCCCACATTGTTAACTTGCTGATTGTGTCCCTATATTGCCATTTAACAGCCTCCCCTGTATGTTGCTGCTATAGCTCAGATTGTCCTAATTCTGGTGTCAACGTCCTTCGCGCAAGACCACCAGGAGCAGGCCTACAGCTGAACAAGCTAGGTTTAGTACTCGCTGCAGTGAGGGAGAACACAACCACGGGAACCTCGTCAAGAGCTTGTAAGAAAGAACTATTAGGACCTGGGCTTTAGTTGGGAGATTTGGGGAAGTGTCTAGGGAAGCAGGGATTTGCTTAAAACTGTATGCTGACAGAAAGTGGGGGCTTCTGTGACTAGGTATCTATCTACAGGGAGGAGAGGCAAGAACGAGGATAAAGCTATAATGGGTGAAGTGCCAGTCACTGACTTTGGCTGAGACAGGTGTCTGGTGTCTTGTGGGCGGCACAGCAACCTCGGTTTTGTCTGAGTCGTCTCATCTTATCATGGTCTCAGCGGCCTTGTCTGAGGCTGGTGCTCCATGAGATTGTTTTACGTTTAACAGGAGAATCAGGAGGCCCGCGGGTGAGTGCCGGGCCAGCTTCTCAACGTCAGGGGCCATTCTTTTCTGTTTTCTTCTGCACTGGACGATGGAAGCCTCTTCCAGTTAACTACTGTGTCCTTTCCACACTATCCCAGTAGTCTTTGGGATCTTCCTTGTTTTCTAGTACAAGATGTTCCAGTTTCCTGTCCCAAACCTGGAATCAGCCACTTCTACAAGGGATTCTGTTTCATTTTAGTGGAAAATGGTACTTAGAGACCAAAATCTGGGCACTAAGATACCCATTGCTCTAGGCTGTTATTATTTCTAGGCCTTCTGAGTGGACAGATCTAGGAGAATTCTTTTTTTAAAAACAAAGCACATTAGGAGTTTATACTGGTATTTCCCATTTAAATGTCAGTTACAGGGTTTTTAACTAACTTTTCTGACTTTATATTCACATCTCTTTTCTCTTTTGTTAAAAATCTTGGTTCCTAATACTAACCTAAATTTCTAACTGACATATATTTTTTGTCTTTAAACTTTGTTTTATAATTTTGTAAACAGTACATGTCTACAAAGCGAAAACGACAGTGGGTTCAGAGAAGTCTAGCTTCCATCTTTCCCCACCCCTTCTTCTTTTCCTCCTCACAAGTGATTGCTTTCATTAATTTGTGATGTATCCTTCCTTTTTCTGTTTTCAAATAACACATAAAATACATATATTTGTATCCCTGCCTCTTAGATATTAGGTAACATGTTACACACCTTGTTCTTCATTTTGATTTTTTTCACTAACAACATATACTGAAGATCACTCCATAGCAAATAGGCTCAGCTTCATGCATTAATAAACTGCAAATTAAAATTACAATGAGACTTAATTTACAATTAAAATCACATTTTTTCAGCTATCAGATTAACCAAGTTCAAAGCCTTAAGAAATGCACTGGGCTGGTAAGAACCTGAGGAGCAACGAACAAGGCACATCACCTTAAGAGGCAATTTGGCAACACCCACCAACACATCAAATGCACACTGACTCAGCAAATCACTTCTGCAATCTATCCTATAGGAATAAATTACTGTCACCTGTACATGGATAGTTGCTCCAGCATTGTATATAGGAGTAAGACTAGAAACATCTTTAATTTACATCAAGAGGGGGAGTATTAAATGAATGATGGCACAGCCACAGAACAGAATATTATACAATTTTAAAAATGAGGTACCTCTATGTACTTTGATGTGGAATGGTCTCCAAGATGTAATGTATAAAACCATGTATTTGTTGTTGCTGCTATGTCCCATCAAGTCTATAACGACTCACGTTGTTGTTGTTAGGTGCCGTCAAGTCGGTTCCAACTCATAGTGATCCTATGTACTACAGAACGAAACAGTGCCTGGTCCTGCGCCATCCTCATAATCATTGTTGTCCTTGAGCCCACTGTTGCAACCACTGTGTCAATCCATCTCATGGAGGGTCTTCCTCTCTTTTGCTGATCCTCTACTTTACCAAACATGATGTCCTTCTCCAGGGACTGATCCCTCCTGATAACATGTCCAAAGTATGTGAGACATAGCCTTGCCATCCTTGCTTCTAAGGAGCATTCTATTTATACTTCTTCCAAGACAGATTTGTTCATTCTTTTGGCAGTCCATGGTATATTCAATATTCTTCACCAACACCACAATTCAAAGGCGTCAATTCTTCTTTGGTCTTCCTTATTCACTGTCCAGCTTTTGCATGCATATGAGGTGATTGAAAACACTATGGTGTGAGTCAGGTGCACCTTATTCTTCAGGGTGACATCTTTATTTTTCAACACTTTAAAGAGGTCTTTTGCAGCAGATTTCCCCAATGCAATACATCATTTAATTTGTTGACTGCTGCTTCCATGGGCGTTGAATGTGGATCCAAGTAAAATGAAATCCTTGACAACTTCAATCTTTTCTCCATCTATCATGATGTTGCTTATTGGTCCAGTTGCGAGAATTTTTGTTTTCTTTACGTTGAGGTGTAATCCATATAGAAGGCTGTACACTTTGAACTTCATCAGTAAGTGCTTGAAGTCCTCCTCACTTTCAGCCAGCAAGGTTGTGTCATCTGCATAACACAGGTTTTTAATGAGTCTTCCTCCAATCCTGATGCCCCGTTCTTCTTCATATAGTCCAGCTTCTCGGATTATTTGCTCAGTATACAGATTGAATAGGTACAGCAAAAGGATACAACCGTGACACACACCTTTCCTGACTTTAAACCACACAGTATCCCCTTGTTCTGTTAGAACAACTGCCTCTTGATCAATGTACAGGTTCCCCATGAATGGAATTCCCATTCTTCACAATGTTATCCATAATTTGTTATGATCCACACAGTCAAATGCCTTTGCACAGTCAATGAAACACAAGTAAACATCTTTCTGGTATTCTCTGCTTTCAGCCAGGATCCATCTGACATCAGCAATGATATCCCTGGTTTCACATCCTCTTCTGAAACCTGCTTGAATTTCTGGCAGTCCTCTGTCGACGTACTGCTGCAACTGCTTTTCAATGATCATCAGCAAAATTTTACTTGTGTGTGATATTAATGATATTGTTCAACAATTTCCACATTTGGTTGGATCACCTTTCTTGAGAATAAGCATAAATATGGATCTCTTCCAGTTGGTTGGCCAGGTAGCTGTCTTCCAAATTTCTTGGCATAGATGAGTGAGCACTTCCAAGGCTGCATCCGTTTGTTGAAACATCTCAATTGGTATTCCATCAATTCCTGAAGCCTTGTTTTTCGACAATGCTTTCAGTGCAGCTTGGACGTCTTCCTTCAGTACCATCGGTTCCTGATCATATGCTGCCTCTTGAAATGGCTGAATGTCGACCAATTCTTTTTGGTACAGTGACTCTGTGTATTCTTTCCATCTTCTTTTGATGCTTTCTGCAGTGTTTAATATTTTCCCTGTAGAATCCTTCAGTTTTGCAACTCGAGGCTTGAATTTTTTCTTTAGTTCTTTCAGCTTGAGTGTGTTCTTCCCTTTTGGTTTTCTATTTCCAGCTCTTTGTACATGTCATTGTAATACTTTACCTTGTCTTCTTGAGCCGCCCTTTGAAGTCTTCTGTTCAGCTCTTTTACTTCATCATTTCTTCCTCTTGCTTTAGCTACTCAACGATCAAGGGTAAGTTTCAGAGTCTCTTCAGACATCCATTTTGGTCTTTTCTTTCTTTCTTGTCTTTTTAATGTCTCTTACTTTCTTCATGTATGATGTCCTTGATGTCATTCCGCAACTCATCTGGTCTTCAGTCATTAGCGTTCAACACATCAAATCTATTCTTGACATGGTCTCTAAATTCACGTGGGCCACACTCAAGGTCCTACTTTGGCTCTCATGGACTTGTACTAATTCAGTTTCAACATGAACTTGCATACGAGCAATTGATGATCTGCTCCACAGTCAGCCCCTGGTCTTGTTCCGACTAATGATATTGAGCTTTTCCGTCGTCTCTTTCCACAGATGTAGTCAAATTGATTCCTGTATATCCCATATGGTGAGGCGCACATGTATTGTCTCCATTTCTGTTGGTGAAAAAAGGTATTTGCAATGAATTGGTCTTGCAAAATTGTATCATGCAATCTCCGGTATTGCTTCTATCACCGAGGCCGTATTTTCCAACTACCAATCCTTCTGCTTTGTTTCCAACTTTCGCATTCCAATCACCAGTAAGGTTGGCAGTTTGAATCCACCAGCCACTCCTTAGAAACCCTATGAGCAGTTTTACTCCAACCTATAGGGTCACTATGAGTTGGAATCAACTCGATGGCAATGGGTTTTTTTTTTTTTTTTTTTGGTATCTCTCATTCTCACAACGATCATAATACATGGGCGTTATTACACTGACTTCATATATAGGAGAAGGAGGATAAGAGACACTGAACAGACTTCCGGCAAAATGGCGCTCTAGGCAGAAACACCATGCCATCCCTCACAGCAAAGATCCAAAAAACTAAGCCAAACAGAGAAAACAACAATCCTGAAACCCTAAAACATCAAATGAAGAGATAAAGAACTCAGCCAAATGGAGTGAGAAAACTAACAGAGAATGGAGAGCAAGGAGAGATTCATGCAGAGGTCCCCTATCAGCTAACGCAGTGCGGATACACCATCTTGGACTCCTATCGGAGACCAGCAAACGGGGTATGAGAAAGCAGCTTCACGGAGCTTTCAGCGGGAGACAAAACAACCGGTAATTTGCAATACACGCTTTCCCACCCCCCACCCTTCTTCACCCCCACTGAGCCTCCTCTGCTTCCCGCGGCCACAATCTCTTGTCTGGGAAGCACCAGCTACTTGGATTCCACCCACCTGAACGGGCGGGCTCTCTGAGTGCCATTTGTTGGCTGCTGGTGTTGCTTTTTTCCGCTTCTTTTGATTTCTTCCTTACTTCGCACTACCTCCCCCTCCTTTCGCTCAAATACCTGGCTCCATGCACAATCTTTGCTTCTTCCTGAGGGGCTGCAGAGCTCCGGTAACTTGTGATATACGTTTTCCCACCCCCTACCCTTCTTCAACCACACTCGGCCTCCTCTGCTTCCCACAGACACAGTCTCTTCTCCAGGAAACACCAGCTGCTTGGATTCCAACAGCCCGCACTAGCAGGCTCTCTGAGTGCAATTTGTTGGCTGCTGGTGTTGCTTTTTTTCCGCTTCTTTTGATTTCTTCCTTATCTCTCACCACCTCCCCCCTCCTTTCGCTCAAATACCTGGCTCCGTGTGTCATCTTTGCTTCTTCCTGATGGGCTGCAGAGCTCTGTTCGATTATGGAGCTGCTTACCGGTCTGGGCTGCCACACTGGTGGGATCCCGGGGATTTGTTCATTTGTTTTGAATTGTTTGTTTTCTTTTCCTTTTCTCGAGTTCGGAGCCCGTTCTGGCCAAGCGGTGCTGCGTGGCTTGGAAAATACCCCCTCGGCTTGCACAGACGTGCAGAGGGATCCCTGAGGGCATTTCTTTCTTCA